TCAAACTTTCTTACTGTAAAGGCGTATCTTTATCTAATAGTTTTTGTTGTACTTAATAAATAGATTTAAAAAAAAAGACTTTGAGTGTTCAATAAGTTATTTCGTGTTCAATTGTTGAACTATAGTATGTAACTGCTTGTCATCAGTAGGTAACTGTTTGTCTTCTGCATCTGACATGCCTCCTATGCCTTCCACAATTGACACCCTGCCTTAAACTTTCGATGGTGTGTCTGCTACAATTGACATTCTTCCTTCCACGTCGTCCAACAGTAAAAAATTGCTTTGAAAACAAATACAACTGAATGGAAATTGTTAGTACCTCTTAACCAAAGACAAAAGGTTATTTATGATTCACATAATCTTGCAACTTCAGCTCATCTAGGTTATTTTAAAACAGAACAATTTTATTGTCCACAAATGAGGAAGGATATTTTAAAGTATGTCAGAAAATGTGAAATTTGCTGTAGTCAAAAAGCTATCAATGCTCAACGTTTTGGTTTGATAGGAGCAGAGCGAAAAGCTAGTTTTCCATTTCATTTCATTAGTACAGATGTATTGGGTCCATTCCCGAGAAGCTCCAAGGGTAATCTGTTTGAAATCTGTTTTTCCGTTAACCAGCTGTCGCTTGGCTATCGACTGATACATTCCTGATAGTCGTTTCAGATTATTTTTCAAAGTTTATTGTGATGAAACCTATCAGAAACGCCACAGCTCAAGCTATTACTACATTTTTAGAAAAAGTTGTCTTGACTTTTGGTGTATCTCAAGTTTTATTGTTGGATAATGCAACTGCACATAAGGGTAAGGTGTTCAATAACTTCATTGAGGAATATAAAATTCCTAAAGTAACGTATACTTGTCGTTACCAACCAAATGAAAATCCCACAGAGAGAAATAATAGGGCAATAGGTACAGCTACAAGGTGTTTCATTAAAGACTCTCATAAACAGTGGGATGAGGAAATTTTGAAGATTCAGCATGCCATTAATACTGCTACTCACGAAGTAACAGGTTTCAGTCCTGATTTTTTAAATTTTGGTAGGACTGTACCAGCTAAAGGTGAATATTATGGTGATGTAATTGATTCTGATTGGAACAATAATTCCCAAGCTAGAAAAATGTATAGTAAAGAGTTGGAAAAATTACCCTCGGTGTACTTTCAGATGCTGCAAATGAATATGCTGCAAAGTTAGCCCCGCGTTTTGTATTATGTAGAGTGAAAAGAGCCGTGTCCAAAATAGTTTACGAGTTAGAAAACTTGGATGGTTCCAATGCAGGAACTTGGCACGTCTCAAAATTGAAACCATTTTATGGTTCAGATACTGAATTGTCAGATTAAACTTTGTAAATATGAATAATATGGTTAACAATTCAAGAAGGGGAATATGCAGAAGTTATTGGCCTTCTGTGATGCTGATTGGAGAGGCGACCGAGAAACCAGCAAAAGCATAAGGAATTGAAGTATTGCACTGTACTGTTGCAGTTTTTCATAATAAAATAGTTTCCAATAAACTATTATAAAGTCGTTATTACAAAGAATATCTGAAAGACCTACAGTACTCCGACATGAGTATTTGAGTACCCTTGTGGAGACTGACCCTACACAAACAGTGCGTGGGATGGTGGAAGAGCTGGACGTCAGCTCCTATGCGGTTTTGATGGCTTAAAACATATTGGAAAAGGCATAGAGCTCGAAAAGTGAGTGCCCCACAATTTGAACAATTGACAGAAATTGTCACTTTTCGAGGTCTGTTCTTCTATAATTTTGTGCAACCAAAACGATCCTTTTTTAGATCTGATCGTCACGTGTGATGGAAAGTGTATCCTCTACAACAGGAGACGTTCAGGACAATGGTTGGATACTGATAAGCCACCCAAGCACTTCCCAAAAGCAAAAACTCACCAACAAAAATCATATTTATTGCATGGCGGTCATCAGCTGGTGTGATTCTAACTTTCTGCAAACGGTCCAAACCAATACATCAGTCTCATAGTGAGGAAATCGACGAAATGTACCGAAAATTGCATCAGCAGCAGCCGGCACTGGTCAACAGAAGAGTTCCGTTGCTGTTCCACGACAACGCACGTCTGCCCGAAAATTAAACGAGTTAGGTGCGATTCCCGCTATACATAACGTCACCGTCACGTCTCCGCACCGTCATAGAACCGAAAATATGACCTAAATTCATACTAGCCGACAACCGGCAAGCAGCTGTCAGTTTGTCTGCCCGTAGAGTGTGACGTGGTGAAAATTCGAACATGAGTGAATTTACAAATGAAGAGCTTGGACAAATTGCGTTTAAAGTAAAGAAGAAAATGCAAATATGAGTGCATGATATATTCCTTAGACGGAAGAACGAGGGCGGCATCAGAAAATGATGAATTGAAATTTTATAAATATTTTAGAATGTCTAAACAGCAATTCTTCCATCTCTAGCATGAAATTGAAGACAGAATAACAAAGAAAAACACTAAGTTTCGTGACGCAATTAGCATCATTGAAAAGCTGATGGTGTGCATACGGTAAGTAAAAATGTAAATTTTATTATATTTATTGATAACAAAAATATTCTATATCAAATAGTGCAAATAATGGATTATATACAGTTAGGCAAATTATTGTTGTTTATTTGGGATATAATTCTGAAGGGATGAGGTTCCTGATTGGAGTCATTGGGATGATGAAGACAAAAATTCATAAATACGTTCTGACGGAGATGCTGTCAGCGTCGGTGTCTGTTGAATATATGGTAACGAATCTGAAGCCGGCCCTGACCAATATCTCAGTCAGCAAACGCATGACATCATCGCGAACCAAATAGGCGAGTACAGAGACCTCTAGATAAATCTAGAACGATCGTTGCCGGTATATAAACCCTGCTTTCCATCCATAGGGGGAGTCTGTATCTAGAAAGTGAATAGTGTGTTTCAATAAAGAATTTGAACTGTGAAGATAAATTAAGCGTTAGTTGTATAAGTGTTGTATATAAATTAGTTGTGATAGTAAAATGTTGTTGAAAATAAATTTGTTCAAGACAGTTATATCTTCAATTCGTTACAATATGCATGCGATCCGTTAGAAAAGTTTGTTAATTTCTGCATTTGAGATAGTTCCAACTCTGATACAACATTAAGTAATCTTGTTTTAACAATTGTGATGAATCAAAAAGCGAGTCAAGTTAGTAAGAATCCAAAGTGTTTGAATCGAGCCTAAACGGACCGGACTAATCATTGACCTAAATAGGAGAACGCGATGTACCAAACACGACACCGATAAGAGGTCATAAATCGTAATAACTGTCGAAAATAATATGTTATTGGGTCGTAAAACTGTCACCGCTAATTACCGCCGAAAGATTAATGGCTAGTGATCCAAATAAACACCTGTCCATGTTGAAAGTCACGTACGCAAGTTTTGATGACGTAAATCTCTCGCTATAAATAATGGCTGGAAGTCGCAGTCAGTATGAGTATCAAGTCAGTATCAATGCAGTGCCGAGTGAGTATCAATATAGTATCAAGTGAAGTCGCAGTCAGTATGAGTATCAGTCGTGAATCAGACCAGTGCAATACATCTAAGTGAAATAGCCTAGTATGAACTGCCAAGATGTAACTATCTCCGTTAAGGCTGATAAAAGTTCGCGATGTTTAAGTAATTAGTCTACGTGAAATGTTTATAAGTGAATAACTCCGAAATGTTCAAAACAGAAAGTGAAAATCTAAGTAGGAAATGTAATCCATTATGAAA